TTCAAGGAGGGGAGCGGCAGTGGGTCCGATGCTGTGCTGCTGTGACAACAACAACAACAATCACAATAACACTGCACCCATCTGGCGTTGTGTTGTGTTGTGTTGTGTGCTTGGATCCGAGCCACTGCACGCATCATCGTCCACCGCTTTGTCAGCAGTCGGTTATCCGTGGAATGTTTGTGTATGTTTTTTCACCAATTCTCCACATCCACAACAAGCAAGAAGATAGCTGAGAGATGTTGAGGGGAGCTGGTGTGCTGGTGGCCGTTGTGGCCGTGCTTGCGTTGGCTGCAGGCGTGCAGGAGGTGCGTGGGTACGCAGTTGAGGTGGACGCACATGCTGAGGAGTGCTTCTTTGACCAAATCAAAACGGGGACCAAGGTCGGCGTCAACTTCCAGGTCGCCGAGGGCGGTTTCCTCGACATTGACGTCAAGGTGTGTGTGTGTTTATGCTGTTTGTTGTGTTCTTGTGTGCGTCTGTGCGTGTTTGCTCTTGTGTGTGTAAATGTGTGTGCGTGAGTGTGCTTGTTTGTTCTTGTGTGATGTGTTGTGTGCTGTGCTGTGCTATGCGTGCGTGCGTGTGTGCTGTGATGCTCATTTCTCAAGTAGCTGCGGGTGTCAGACATTGCTGCTCACTCATTCACATGCTGCTGGTGACAATGGGTGGCACTAGATTACTGGGCCCGATGGCAAAATCATCTACTCTGGGGAACGTGAGACGGATGGCAAGTACACGTTCTCCGCGCACATGGATGGCCGATACACGTACGTTCTTCACGCCCAATTGAAGGGAACACGAAGATGCGCGCGTGTTGATATGTTTGCGACTTACTTGAGTGTGTGTGTGTGTTTGTGTTGATGATATGTGTGAGTGTGTGTGTGTGTGTTTGTGTTGATGATGTGTGGATTGAGGTTGTCATTGCCAGCAAGTATCGCTTGTGCTCATGTGGCTGACCAACGCCTCATTCTCGGTCATCTCTGTTCTTCCATCCATCTGCACATTCACACCCACACACACACACGTGCACACAGGTACTGCTTCAGCAACGCCATGTCCACGGTGACGCCAAAGCTCGTTGTGTTTAGCGTGAACATTGCTGGCCAAGAAGGCTTTGTTCCCGATGACCTCGCTGGTAGGTTGCTCGTTCAACATGCGTGCGTGCGTGTGTGAATTCGTGTGTGGATGTGGATGTGGAGTTGCATGTGTTTGTGTGTTTCCACTCTGCACGCATTGCAGCAAGCACATGCATGTGTACACAATCCTTCCTCTTCCACGTTGCTTCTTGTCAACCTCTCATCCCACCACTCATCACACCACTCATCACACCACTCATCACACCAATCATCACACCTCTCTCTCTATCTCTCACCCACCTCTCATCCCACAACCCCTTTCACCCCATGGCGCAGGCAAGCACGACAAGTTGCACGACATGGTGGAGGAGCTTGCAGAGGCCGTCATGGCTGTCAAGCGGGAGCAAGACTACATGATTGTTCGGGAACGCACCCACCGCATGAGTAAGGCAGTAGAAGTGATGGTGGTGGTGGTGGTGGTTTGGGGCGACGGGATGGCTGGGTGGTGGACATGTTAACACAAGCACGCAGCCTGCGGTCCTTACAGAAACACCCTGACTCGCACACACAAAAGCAAACGTACACACACACACACACACACACACACACACACACACACACACACACACACACACACACACACACACACACACACACAAACGCAAACGTGCACACACACACACACACACACACACACACACACACACACACACACACACACACACACACACGTTTACACTCTCTCACACATGCGCCCTCCCCTCTCGCCCATCTCCAACCACAACACTCCACAGTCAACGACAGCACCAACTCGCGGGTGGTGTGGTGGTCGTTCTTTGAGGCCGTTGTGCTGATCCTCATGACCATCGGGCAGGTCTACTACATCAACCGGTTCTTCGAAGTCAAGCAGATGGTCTAACTCAAGCACAGACAAAAGCAGCCCCCACAGACGCAACGGCACTACCCATGCACCCACACACCCACACATGCACACATGCACGCACTGCGTGTTCACTGTTCTCTTCCTTCCCACCTGCGTTGCGTTGATGTGTGCTGCAATAAAAACAATCACAAGCCAACACAAATTGCAGCGTGTGCGTGCGTGTGTGCGTGCGTGCGTGCGTGAGTGAGGGTGTGTGCGGGCGAGGGTGTGTGCCGGCGAGGGTGTGAGAGTCTGGTCGCGCTTCCTTCCTTTCCTCACATCATCACTCCTCTTTTCCACTGTCCTCAAGCTCAAATCCTCTGATTATTTTCACTTTTTTTATTCTTCATGCGGAAATCTTTAGAGAAAACAGCAAAGAAGTCTGACAAGCGAAACAAAGCGCAGAAAAGCGTCAACACAAATACACACACACACACACACACACACACACACACACACACACACACACAAGAGCAGTCAGTGCCATCCGCTTCCCTCCAACCACCACCACCCACCAAGACGCAAGAAGGAAGGAGAAGAAGAAGAAGAGGTGAGTCCGTGTGTGTGTGTGTGTGTGTGTGTGTGTGTGGATGAGGTGTGGGTGCGTTGATGTGGGTGTGTTGTGAAAGTGTGCGTTGTGTGGGTATGTGTGAAGGTTGGGCTGGGAGCGGTTCCACGCCTCCTTGTTGCTGCTTTGCTTCCTTCCCGTCTGTGTTTGTTTCACTGCCCAAAGTCCCGTGCTTGTTTTGGTTGTGCGGTGTTGTCACTTTTTGTCTTTTGTCTTCTCTGTCATCGACAACCATAAGCGGCGCACTTGAGTGCATCAACCTCCTCTCCTTGTCTTGCGCACAGCCGCTGTGCTCCTCCTTCTTGTAACGATCCTTCTCTCTGTTGTCCTCGTGGTTGTCCCCTCTTTTTCATCGCATCGCATCGCAGCGCTTACACAAACAACCAACAACACTGCAACAACAACACGCACCACACCATCAACACACCCGCGCAGAAGGTCCATTTCCACTGCTGTGTTTGAGCTGTCCACACACCCAAGAGCCCAACCATGGCTGGCATCCCCGTCAAGTTCCTGGAGGTTCTCCAGGTTGGTTCACTGAACAGTGGACACCTTGCCACAAGACGCAACACAGCCACGATCGACTCTTGTTTGCAGTGCTTTCATCAGCTCTTTCACGCACACACACACACACACACACACACACACACACACACACACCCGCACTACGCCTTCCTTCCTTATGCACTGTCCCTCTGCCCCTCTGCTCCCCTCACACAACCCATCCAACACCAACAACAACGTCAACCTCACACAACAGGTCAAGAGCCTGGGCATTGCTGAGGGCAGCATTGCTTTTGCCACGCTGACGATGGAGTCTGAAAAGTACATTTGCGTGCGTGAGGAGAGTGGCGGCAAGAACGAGGTGGCCATCATCGACGTCGCCGCCGGCTCCGTCGACCGCAAGCCCATCAAGGCCGACTCTGCCATCATGAACCCGTCGTCCAAGATCATCGCCCTCAAGGCCGGCAAAACGCTGCAGATCTTCAACCTCGACCTCAAGCAGAAGGTCAAGTCGTGCAACATGGTGCAGGACGTGGAGTTCTGGAAGTGGCTTGACGACACCACGCTCGGCCTCGTCACCCCAACAGACGTCTTCCACTGGTCCCTGGACGACGACAAGGAGCCCACCAAGGTGTTCACGCGCGATGCCTCGCTCAACGGCTGTCAGATTATCAACTACCGCGCCAACGCCAGCAAGACGTGGGTGCTGCTCATGGGCATTGCCCCGCGTGACGGCCGCGTCGCAGGATTCATGCAGCTCTACTCCACCGAGCGCAAGGTGCGGCGAAAAACACGCGCGCTTGCCTTTTGTGTGCCTCGTTGGTGTTGGTGTGTGTACGTGTATCTTGTGTGTTTTGTGTGCATGTGCGTGTTGTGTCATTTGTGTGTTCATGTGTGCTTTGCGTGTGTTGCGTGCATGTGCTCGACTTAGCACTGCACATTCCCCTCCCTGCATCCCACTTTTTGTGCACACCCTCACGAAACAAACACACACACACACACACACACACACGCACACACACACACACACACACACACACACACAGGCGAGCCAGTCCATTGACGGGCACGTGGGCACGTTCATCAACTACCGCATGCAAGGCAACCCGGAGGACTCTGGCCTGCTGTGCCTTGCCTCTCGCACGGCCGCTGGTGGCAAGCTGCACATTCTGGAGGTGGGCGCAACCCCAGCCGGCAACCGCGCCTTTGAGAAGAAGGCAAAGGAGATTGAGTTTGCCCCAGACGCCGCCACCGACTTTCCCGTCGCCATCCAGGTGCGTGATATGTGTGTGTGTGTGCGTGTGCGTGTGCGTGTGCGTGTGTGTGTGCGTGCGTGTGTAGGTGTGACACTGTGCGTGCCTGTGTGTGTGTGCGTGTGGGTGAATGCGCTTTCGCATACTTGTACAACCGCACATTTACATGCGTGTTCGTTTTGCCACACGTTCCTTTTTCCGTTGTCTCACGCCCGCGTCCAAACCACCAATCACCCATTTCGTGTGTGAATGCAATACTGCAGGCAAGCCCCAAGTACAGCGTGATTTTCCTCATCACCAAGTTTGGCTACCTGCACGTGTACGACCTTGAGACGGGCTCTGTCATCTTCAAGAACCGCATCACGCAGAGCACCATCTTCGTCACGGCGTACAACTCCAACAACGGCGGCATCATTGGCGTCAACCGCGCCGGCCAGGTCCTCACCGTCACCATTGACGAGGACAACATCGTGCCATACATCACCTCCCAGCTCAAGAACCCGCAGCTGGCCCTCAGCCTCGCTGTGCGCGGCAACCTCCCTGGCGCGGAGGAGGTGTTCACCACGCAGTTCAACCAGCAGTACGCCGCGGGCAACTTTGACCAGGCGGCCATCACCGCTGCCCAGGCACCAAAGGGCGTTCTCCGCAACGCCGAGACGATGCGCAAGCTGCAGCAGGCGCCCGTGTCCCCCGGCCAGCAGAGCCCGCTGCTCAAGTACTTTAGCACGCTGCTGGAGACGTCGAAGCTGAACAAGCAGGAGGCGATTGAGCTGTGCCGCCCCGTCATCCAGCAGAACAGGACCGAGCTCATCGAGAAGTGGCTCAAGGAGGACAAGGTGCGGCGTTGTCTTGCGTTTGGTTTGGTCTTGTCGTGCTCTGCTGCGTTGTTGTTGTTGTTGTTGTTGTTGTTGTTGTTGTTGTTGTTGTTGTTGTTGTTGTTGTTGTTGTTGTTGTTGTTGTTGTTGCTGTTGTTGTTGTTGTTGTTGTTGTTGTTGTTGTTGTTGTTGTTGTTGTTGTTGTTGTTGTTGATGATTGGATTTTTAATGCGCCTTTATGCGTTTGTTGTTGCGTGTTGCTCTGTGAAAGCTCCATGTGATGCCCCCTCCCTCTCCGCACACACCGCTTTCACGCATTTCCATCTCCCTTTCTCAACTCACCCCTCATCCCCCCCCTTTCACATCCCCATACACCAACCACTACAGCTGGAGTGCTCTGAGGAGCTTGGCGACATGATCAAGCCCATCTCGCCCAAGTTTGCGCTGTCCGTGTACCTGCGCGCCGAGGCGTCTGCCAAGGTCGTGCAGTGCTTTGCGGAGACAGGCGAGTTTGAGAAGATTGTGCTGTACTCGCAGAAGGTTGGCTACACGCCAGATTACGTGTACATCCTGCGCATGATTCTCCGCAGCAACCCGGACAAGGCGGCCGACTATGCCAAGAGCCTGGTGAACCAGGACCCGCCCCTCGCCGACATCAACCAGATTGTCGACGCGTTTGCGGAGATGAACCTGGTGCAGCCGTGCACGGCGTTTCTGCTGGAGGCGCTCAAGGGCGACAAGGACGAGCACGCGCAGCTGCAGACGCGCCTGCTGGAGATGAACCTCCGCGCCGCGCCGCAGGTTGCCGATGCCATTCTCGGCAACAAGATGTTCACCAAGTACGACAAGCAGCACATTGCGCAGCTGTGCGAGCAGGCCGGCCTCCTCACCCGCGCCCTGGAGAACTACACTGACCTCTTTGACATCAAGCGCGCCATCATCCACACGCACCTGCTCAAGCCCGAGTTTCTCATCTCGTACTTTGGCACGCTGAGCGTGGAGAACGCGCTCGAATGCCTCAAGGAGATGCTCTCCAAGAACATTCGCCAGAACCTGCAGATTTGCGTGCAGATTGCCGCCAAGTACCACGAACACCTCACCACCACCGCGCTCATTGACCTCTTTGAGTCGTTCAAGTCGTTTGAGGGCCTGTTTTACTTTCTCGGCGCGATTGTCAACGCGTCCGAGGATGCGGAGGTGCACTTCAAGTACATTGAGGCTGCCTGCAAGACGGGCCAGATCAAGGAGGTTGAGCGTATCTGCCGTGAGAGCAACTTCTACGACCCGGAGCGCGTCAAGAACTTTTTGAAGGAGGCCAAGCTCTCGGACCAGCTCCCGCTCATCATCGTCTGCGACAGGTGTGTTGTTGTGATGTGTGTTTTTTTTTTTGCGTGTGTGTGTGTTGTTCGTGAGCTGAATGTGTGCTTGTGTGAGTGTGTTTGTGTGAATGTGTGCTTGTGTGAGTGTGTGTTTGTGTTTACGTGAGGGCGTTGTTTTGCGTGCTCTTGCGTGAGCGTGTGAGTGTGTGTTGTTTTTTGGGTGTGTATCATCATGCACATTACCATTGTCTACACCCACCAACCCACCCTCTTCTTTTTGCCCACCTCATCTCCTTCCCCCCTCCTTCCCACTCCCATCTGTTGTCAGGTTCGACTTTGTGCACGACCTTGTCATGTACCTGTACAAGAACGACCTGAAGAAGTACATCGAGGTGTACGTGACCAAGGTCAACTCGAAGCGCCTGCCGCAGGTGGTTGGCGGCCTGCTCGATGTTGACTGCAGCGAGGACGTCATCAAGAACCTCATCTCCGTTGTGCGCGGCGAGTTCTCCACGGACCAGCTTGTGGAGGAGGCGGAGAAGCGCAACCGCCTCAAGCTGCTGCTGCCCTGGCTCGAGTCGCGCATCCACGAGGGCGTCACGGAGCCCGCCACCCACAACGCCCTGGCCAAGATCTACATTGACGCCAACAACAACGCCGAGCGCTTCCTGCGCGAGAACGAGCACTACGACAGCCTCGTTGTGGGCAAGTACTGCGAGAAGCGCGACCCGCAGCTGGCGTTTGTGGCCTACGAGCGCGGCAAGTGCGACCAGGAGCTGATTGAGGTGTGCCACGCCAACAACCTGTACAAGAACGAGGCGCGCTACCTCGTTGCCCGCCGCGACGACGAGCTGTGGGCGCAGGTGCTTGACCCCGAGAATGAGCACCGCCGCCCGCTGGTTGACCAGGTGGTGCAGACGGCGCTGCACGAGAGCCACGATCCGGACGACGTGTCCTCCACGGTCAAGGCGTTTATGGCGGCCAAGCTGCCCAACGAGCTCATTGAGCTCCTGGAGAAGCTGGTCATGGGTGACTCGGCCTTCAGCTCCAACAAGAACCTGCAGAACCTGCTCATCCACACGGCGATTGAGGCCGACGCGTCGCGCGTGATGGAGTACATCAACCGCCTGGACAACTACGACGCCCCGGACGTCGCCGCCATCGCCATTGAGTCGTCCCTCTTTGAGGAGGCGTTTGCCATCTTCCAGAAGTTTGACGTGCCCACGGAGGCCATCAAGGTGCTCATTGACCACATCAAGAACCTGGACCGCGCGTACGAGTTTGCCGAGCGCGTCAACGACGGCGACGTGTGGTCGCTGCTCGCCGGCGCCCAGCTGCGCGACGGCATGGTGAAGGAGGCGATTGACTCGTACATCAAGGCCGACGACCCGACCACGTACAAGCAGGTGGTTGCCGCCGCCAACGAGAGCGGCAACTTTGAGGAGCTGGTCAAGTACCTGCAGATGGCGCGCAAGAAGGCACGCGACGCGTCTGTCGAGACGGAGCTCGTGTTTGCCTTTGCCAAGACCAACCGGCTGGCGGACATGGAGGAGTTTATCACAGAGGCCAACCTGGCCAACGTGCAGGAGGTTGGCGACCGCTGCTACCAGAACGGCATGTACGAGGCTGCCAAGATTCTCTACACCAACGTGTCGGACTTTGGCCGCCTGTCGTCGACGCTTGTCTTCCTTGGCGAGTACCAGGCTGCCGTGGACGCCGCACGCAAGGCCAACAACACGCGCAGCTGGAAGGAGGTGTGCTTTGCCTGCGTGGAGCACGGCGAGTTCAAGATGGCGCAGATTTGCGGCCTGCACATTGTGGTGCACGCGGACGAGCTTGACGAGGTGATCAACTACTACCTGTCGCGCGGCCACTTCCACGAGCTCATTGCCCTGCTGGAGGCCGGCCTCAACCTTGAGCGCGCCCACATGGGCATGTTCACGGAGCTTGCCATCCTGTACTCCAAGTACGCGCCGGAGAAGATGTCCGAGTACCTCAACATGTACTGGTCGCGCGTCAACATCCCCAAGGTGCTGCGGGCGGCGGAGAACGCGCACCTGTGGGACGAGCTCGTGTTCCTGTACGGCAAGTATGAGGAGTACGACAACGCCATCCTCACCATGATGAACCACCCGTCGGAGGCGTGGAAGCACAAGACGCTGCTGGAGATGGTGCCCAAGGTTGCCAACACGGAGATTTTCTACAAGGCCGTTGACTTTTACCTCGAGTTTAAGCCGTCGCAGCTCAACGACGTGCTGTCTGCCGCCGTTGCCCGCATCGACCACACGCGCGCCGTCAAGCTGCTCTCGGACCGCAACGAGCTCTCCCTCGTCAAGCCGTACCTGCAGCTCGTCCAGCAGAACGACAACAAGGTGTGGTTGGCGGTGGTGGTCGTGTTTGTTGTTTTGAGTTGGTTTTGTTGCTGTGTGGTTGTGTGTGTGTGTGTTGTCGTTGTGTGAGATTTTGTGTGGTTGTTGCGTGTGTGTGTGTGTGTGTTTTGTGTGTTGTGTGGCATGTTTGTGTTTTCATGATGGAAGTAGATGTTGCTTTCACTCGCCACTCGTCTTTCCACCTGTCTACTCACATGTTTTGCTTCTTTGCTTCCACCACTCCACCACAACATTAACCGCAGCACGTGAACGAGGCGCTCAACTCTGTGCTCATTGAGGAGGGCGACTATGAGGCGCTTCGCCAGTCCATCGACAAGTACCAAAACTTTGACACCATTGCGTTGGCGCAGCAGCTGGAGAAGCACGAGCTGCTTGAGTTCCGCCGCATTGCTGCGTACCTCTACAAGGCCAACAACAGGTCCGTGTAGTTGTTTGGCTGCTGTGATTTGGTTGGTTTGGTTTGATTGGTTTGTTGTTTGATTTTGTGGTTTGTTTTGTTTTGTGTCGGTTTGTGTTTGATTGTGTTTGGTTTAGTTTCCCCCGTTCTTTCGCGTGCCATTGTCGTGTCGCGTATCGTGCATGTGCTGTTGCCTGTTGCTCACCCTCCTCGCTTCATTGCCCACCCCCGTCCGCCTCTATTGTTATTGCTGCCGTTGTTGTTTTTGCCACGAGCAGGTGGCAGCAGTCCATTGACATTTGCAAGCGCGACAAGCTCTTCAAGGACGCAATGCAGTACGCTGCCGATTCCCGCGACGCCGAGAGCGCCCTCTCCCTCCTCAACTACTTTGTCGAGATTGAGAACAAGTGCGTGTTGTAGTCTGAATATGTGCGTGTGTGTGTGTGCGTGAATGAGTGTGTTGCATGAATGAGTGTGGTTTTGTGTGTGAGTGTGAGTGAGTGTGAATAAGTGTGTGAATGAGTGTGTGAATGAGTTGTGTGGTTGTGCGTGTGACGCCCTTAACCCACCCAAGTCGTTTCTCACCTCCTATCTGCACCCACCCCCACCACCACTTCAACCCGCCCAGGGAGTGCTTTGCTGCGTGCCTGTTCACGTGCTACGACCTGGTCAAGCCCGATGTGGCAATGGAGCTCGCATGGCGCAACCGCATGATGGACTTTGCCATGCCTTACTTCATCAACGTCGTCAAGGAGTACACACAGAAGGTGCGTGTCACGTGCTGTGTTGTGTGGTGCACGTTGTGCGTGGTGTGCGTGCGTGTGTGTTGTGTGTGCGTGTGTGCGTGCGTGTGTGTGTGTGTGTCGTGGTTTCTGCGTTGATGTCTTGAGCACCTGCATGACATTTGCTCCCTGGGTAGTATTGCGTCCCCATGTGTCCAATTCTGCCAACGTCGAACGAGCCTACACTCACGCTGTATCCGCCCCAACACCATTCTCTCTCCCCTCTCCCATCTCCCCGCTTCCCTTACTTGATTCAGGTGGACATGCTGTCGACGCACCACGCGGAGAGGAAGGCGGAGGAAGAGTCGCAGCCGCCGACGCCAAACATGGGCATGCAGCAGCTCATGCTGACGGGCGGCCCCGGCGGTATGGGCATGGGCATGGGCATGGGTTATCCGCAGCAGCAGCAGGGCGGCTACCCACAGCAGGGCATGCAGTAGATAGGCTCCTGGCAACACAGACACGCTGACAGACCAGCAATACCAAACAAAAACCACCAACACCAATAGCACACACCCCAACACACACTCTTCGTTTCGATTGTCTTGCCACGCCGCTTGTTGTTGTTGTTGTCTCTGTTGGTGCTGTCGATGATGACGATGCTTTGGCTGCTGTTGTGTTGATGTTCCTTCCTTCCTTCATGTCAAGTCTGTTCGTCCGTTGTTTGTTTCGTTTGGCCTCGCCATTGTCGCTCGGTCGTGTTTGTTCCCTCTTCCCCAAGACATTCTGTGCTTGGGTGTGACATGTGATGGACCCTCTCTCCGTCCGTCTCTCGTGCTGTTGTTTCCTCAGTCATTGCTTGATGTAGTGTGTGCACACGCGTGTTGTTCTCTCTCGTTCGTTGGATGTTGGTTACACGGGTCCCTCTTGTGCATGTGTTTTTCCTTTTGTGCTCGTGTTTGTTTGTTTGTTGCTCCTTTCCTCCCCACCAGCATATCCGTCCAATGAACGCATTCCAAACAAAAACCACGCAGCTGGTGGTGATGGTGGTGATGATTGTGGTGAGTGGGAAGATGTTGCGGCACGTTCGGTGGTGGATACATAATCCCGAGCTTGACGAGATGGCAGGATGCAAGGAAGGTCAGATAAGGCATGGACAGAGTTCAAAGGGAAGCGTTGATACATGATGCACACACACACACACACACACACACACACACGCACACACACACATAGACATACACACACATAGATAGACAAACACACACGCACATAGACATACACACACATAGACACACACATAGACACACACACACACATATCACGGCGGGGACCACTGGTGTTGCTGCTGGTGTTGCTGGTGTTGCTGTGTTGGGGTGCGCAGGCCTGGCGTGAGCGTCTGCTTGCGCTTGGGCAAAATCTTCTCGACAACCACGGGCGTTCCCCTGTTGCTTGTCGTGCTGACATAACTCGGTGACTGCATGCGCCTGCCAACGCTGCCCAGACTCGTCGTTGATGCAGCCCTCGACCCCATACGCGTGGACGCCGACGACGCAGGGCGGCTGTGCTTGAGATCCGTCTGGAAAGCGGGGTTGTGGAACGCCTTGCGCGAACGCAGCTTCGGCGGGGGAATGAACTCTGCAGGCAGGCGGCGACGGCGCACAACAAGCCACCCAAACAGCGCCAGCGTGGCAATGAGCAGGAACACGCCAAACCCAAGCAGACCGCGGGCTGCTGCGGCCTGGCTGTTGCATGATGCCGCTTGCTCCACGGGTGCTGGTGGTGGCGGTGGTGGTGTTGCTGATGCCTCCAGCACAATGGCAGTCAAGTTGGCGATGTCTGACACAAGCGTGCATGTCCCTGACGACGATGACGCTGGTACGCTCGGTGAAGTTGTTGCTGTGGCTGTGGTTGCAGTCGTGGGTGCTGTTGTTGTGGTTGCGTTGTTGGCTGTGCTGGCTTGTGCTGGCTGGGCGAAGCGAAAGCAGCGGCTGTCGGCCGGCGTTGCTGTCGACGCATCGGAGGCGGAAATAAACAGCCGAAACCCAGCACTCGCAGCAACGTCAGCAGCAATGCGCAGTGGGCTGTGTTGGTGTTTGGTTGGTGGGACGAATGAAAGCACGTGTGAGACTTGCGCTGGGACGCCGCTTGAGCAGCGGCCAAGAGATGTAAGACAGGGAGACATAGATGCAGACGTCGGCATAGCAAGGAAACATGCACACACACAAAGACACACGGACACAGACACACACACACACACAGACACACACAAAGACACACACACACACACACAGACACACACACACACACACACAGACATACACACACACACACACACACACAAAGACACATGCACACACACACACACACAGACACACAGACACACACACACACAGATACACACACACACACACACACACAGACACACACACAAAAGGGAGACAGGCAATACATCTTCAAATGTTGTCCCATAACCTCCTCACCTTGAGCAGGGCGAGAAAGCGATGGGGGTGTCTGTTCGCGCAAGTGTTGTTGTTGAGGTGGTGTTGGCGCATGCAAACGGTTGATCCACCAGGCGAGAGGAAGTGAAAGCGAGGTGGAGGTGGCTGCCGTACCACACGGCCTCCCTCACAGTGACATCATCAGCAGCCAGTGATGATGGGGTGTCGGCGTCTGTTGCATTTGCGTTCTCATCACGCAACGGCCACACAAAGACCCACGTGGCCGGCTCCCCCACATTTCCAGACACATCCACGCCCGAAACTGCGAGGCGGTACCGGCCAGCAACCATCGCATCCTCCTCCGCTTGCAGCTGCACATCCACAGACACGGCAGCCGCCAAGTCATCATGCAATCGCCCGCACGGGTCTGCGTGCACGATGCGTTCAGCCGTACAGATTGCATCAGTGGCGCGGCATACGCGCGTGAGGTTGCACGTGGCGTGCGAAAAGCCGTCACCGCTTGGAGCATCGAGGGAGAAGAGGGATGCGTTGATGCTAACAACATGCTGCTGCTGCTGCTGCTGCGGCAGAGTGGTGATGGAGGGTGCGGCGGTGAAAGCCATTTCAGGGGGATACACGTCTGATGGAAGGTGCAGCCAGGGAGAGTGGATGAATGTGGATGAGATGAGCGCAATGGTGGGTAACGTGTGGTCCCAAGAAGGTGTGACAGAAAGCAAGCTGAATACAAATCGGACACACACACATATATATACATGTATACATACATATTGTATATACACAAACACACACAGACACACACACACGACTCAACGTCTTCGTCATTGACATCACCTTGGTGAACAATCCATCGAGATGGTGGTCCAAAATCTTCTCCATCACCGCCAACACCAACAACAGCGGGCGCAGCTGCAATGTCAATGTTGAATTCCGTGTGCCGCACAGCCGTTGCATCACTGTTGCCATCAGTCGCAGTTGTTGGCGCAGGCAAGGTGACCGACACAACAGGGAGGTCTGGCATGTGCACGCCGCCAATCTCAAACGTGCCAACACCATCGTATGTCCCCTCGCACGGGCATGTGACAGCAGTGCCGCTTGCGTCGTCAGTGCAAGTTGCAGCAGTAGCACACGTGCTGCAGGTGCAGGGAGCGCCGCTTGGTGTCGTCTCTGTGCTGCTGCGACCAACATATCCGCGTGCGAGCGACACGGTTTCGCCCACGAGCGAGGACAAGAGGACCGACTGCCACTGCGCGTCCGAGGTGATGTCCTTCCACGATGACACGGTAAACAGCACAACAAACGTGCTGTCATCCACCGGCTCCTGCACCATCTGCACACACGCGCAGCAAAAACAGGGGAAAGAAATGGAAGGCGTTACAATAGGGGAAGGCGACGGAACGAGTTCAAACACCCACACCCACACACATACACACGCACAAACAAGCACACGCACACACATGTGCACACACGACTGCAGCAGCACACTCACGATGGAGTCCACGGCGTTGACTGCAGACGACAGCAGCACGGCGAGTCTGGCGAGCAGCTCGTCTTGGTGTGCGGCGAGGAACACGAGCGTGGCGGCGGCGGTGCTCGTGTGCGGTCGTTCATCTGTGGACACGGGGTGGAGCCGTAGCAGGAAGCGGAGTGGTGTCACCTGACACGGCGCAAATGCCGGCGCAGTTGAAACGTCCGCTGGCACGCGCACGCCCGTCCGGAGAACCGCCTGCAGTAGTGGTGGTGGTGAGTAGATGGGGGGGGGGAGTATGGGTGGGCGAGTGAGAGGATGCGTGTGTCGAGCATGTTCGTGTTGTGTTATGTGTTGTGTGTGTTGTGTGTGTGTGTGTGCGTGTGTGGAAACACACGAGCCCACACATTCATGGAGAGAAACGCACCTGTGCACTTGAAATTCTGCATTGGAACGAGCAGAGTGGGTGGTTGCATGCAAGCTCGATGGAGGCCGACGTGCCTTTCACCCAAACATCAGACGCACTCTCGTCCACGTACACGCGCGTCTCGTCTTCCACTGTTGCAGGTAACAGAGGGAGGTGACACACGTTGCGGGGGAGTGATACCGTCAGAGGGACTTCAGGAAGCGGAGATACACACAAGGACACACACAGACACAGACAGACAGACATACACACATACATACACACATACATACAGACAGACAGACATACAGACAGACAAACACACAAACACACATAATATTCACAGACACAGAGCCAAACATGACACGACAAGCCAAACGTACCAATGAGCCAATCTGTGTGAACGGCTGTTCCAGCGTTGCCGGCTTCATCCACGGGCGTGACAATCAGCGAATAGTACCCGCCACCCGTGACGAGGTCAGCGGGGACGGCAGTCGTGGCCGCGCAGGGCGCAATGGCAATGGTTGCGACGGGTGTCTGCAGTCGACACTCAAATGCCAATCGAGTCGACAATGCCGTACCATCACCCCCATCACCGTTGGTGTTGTTGTCGATGATGGCTGAGGTTGTGGATGTGTTTGGACGGGCGTACCCTTCTGACGGGGCGCTGGTGATGGTGACGTTGATAACGGTCGGTGCGGATGCAAACGCGAGCTGTGGAATACCGGTGGCAAAGTCCTGTTGTACGGCATCGAAGAATGGCTGCGTCAACTGCAGAGACGAGGAGGAGGACGATGATGATGGAAGCTGTGCGCTGACACGGACAGCCGGTTTGTACATGTCTGTTGAGGGTGGCAGTGGCGGTGGTTTGATGTGAGACGGAGGGGGGGGGGAGTGGTTGATGAGGAAACGCGAAAAAAAAAAAAAAACTGGGCAGCATGGAGCGGTTGGTGGGATACGCACACATATGCTTAAACAGATACTGACCCACACGCACGCACACACACGCACAGATACACACACACACACACACACACACACACACACACACACACAACACACGCGCACATAGACACACCCACAACACACCCTAATTCGCTCACCGAAGATCCAGGTGTCGATGCGCTGTGTTGCGGTGTTTCCGGCGACGTCTGTGAGCGTGAGTTCGATCCAGTGTGTGTATGTGTTCTCCTCAACGCACGCACGCTGCTGCTGCTCATCCGAAAACGCGTTGCACGTGGCGCTGTACGATAGCTGCGTCACCCCGCACACGTGCAGAAATCCAAGCGGGCATGTCGGTGTGCCCGGTACACTTGGATCCTGCACGTTGCAGCCGCGTTCAAATGCCTGCATGCACGACACGAGGGCGGTGCCGTTGTTGGTGATGGCGAGCGTGGGCTCCCCAGCAACACCTGCAGCGACAGCTGCGATGGTGCCCGTTGCAAAGTCGCACGTTGTCGCAGGGCGACAGGTTGCATCATCGCTCGTCACGCCCCCAACTGCGTAACAATGCTTGCAGGCAAGCGATGACAGCTGCTCGGAGAAGGCGACCGTCAACGACCGCACAACATCACGCGTCACAACAGGCACTGACGACGACAACGACGACGACGACGACGACGACGATGAGGAAGCCACGGAGGAGATGGTGGCATGAGGTGCGGTCGTGTCGATGGTGAATGAAAACTCATCCCATGCACCCACCAGGACACTGCTCGTCTCACCATCCACACCAGCACCAGCACCAGCAGCACTGGTTGGCTGTCCCTGGACATTTCCTGCTGCGTCAATCGCTCGTGTGAACAACACATAATCTCCCTCAGCCAATCCGTCGTAAGCGACTGGTGACGTGCACACCTCCCATCCCCATGTCGCCAGTGCATCACCACCACCACCACCGTTGCCATCGCCATCACCAGCAGCACTGCCCTGTCCTCCACCTCCACCTGCTGCTGCTGCTGCTGCTGTTGTCTTGAGTTGGGCTGCCCGTGTTGCGTTGACGAGAAGACACTGGAGCGTGGAGAGCGTCTCGTCCACGTCGATGGAGAACGAAACAGAGGAGGCCGCACTTCTCCTCGCTGGCGCAACGCCAGGTGTCGTGTCGATTGTCGCAGTCGGCGGCGTCGTGTCCACCACCCACTCCACCATTGTCGTGTCGCCCACGTTCCCGGCGCCATCCACAGCCCGCACCCACAGCACGTGCGTCCCCTCAGGCACGCCCGTGATGACGAGTGACGCGGAGCACGGCTGCAGCTCCTCATCGCCAACAGCGCAGCCGCTGCCGTCACCACTCACCGTTGCGCTGGCGTCGGTGATGGAGCCGCCCGGATGCGTGCACGGCGATTGCGGGCACGAAAATGCCTGCACGCACTCGAGTGCGCACTGGAACGACACAAACGGGTCCTCCACCGCTGTGAGCGCAAATGATGCTGTCGTGATGGCGGTTCGGCCCGCCCCTGTGCTGGGCAGCCAGCTGCCAACCGCGGCAACGCTGACGAGAGGCGGTTGCGTGTCCACCGTCCATGTGATGCGGAGGGTTGCGCCCGTGTTGCCTGCAAGGTCGATGGGCGTTACCAGCAGCGTGTACTGCGCGTCGGCCAGCGGCTGTGTGGACCCTATACCCGCAGGGAGGACCACGCTCGCACGCGAGACGAGTCCTGCTCCTTGGTTCGGACTGGACACGGCTTCCACCGTGTGCATGACCTGCCGCGTGATGACACCACCACCACCACCATCCTGTTGTTGCTGCTGCTGTTGTTGTTGCTGGAGGGTGATGGAAAACCGGGCCAGTTCGCTCGCCTGCAATTGAAATGCGGCAGTTGTGCTGCGGGACACGCGTGCCGGCGGTGTGGATATGAGCACCGCTGTTGGCGCCGTCGTGTCTACAGTGACAACCGCGCTGGCCACCTGCTGCTGCCGTGATGACGACGACGACGATGTTTGGGAAAGGGATGCTGATGGGATTGCGTGCGCTTCATCGACAGCAGCGACTGTGATGCGCATGGGAGAAGCAGCGCCGGCCGTGTTGTCGTTGGTGCTATCATTGTCGTTGTGGGCGGTGAGGAGGGTTGACAGGAGCGACGTGAGGGTGCACGGCCACACGAGGCGTCCACTGGCAGCTGTTCCTGGTGTTCCCGTTGTTCCTGTTGTTCCCGTTGTTGTTGGGTTGATGGCGCACGCGTATGCAATACCGCGCGTACTGCCCTCCTCGTCCGAGAAGAACTCGAGTGGCGGCGATGCGAGCGGAGAGATGATGGAGGAGGAGGAGGAGGAGGACGATAACGATGATGTCACGAACGCATCGGCAGGGTCGCGATCTGTGATTGTTTGTTGGGGGCGGGGGAAAAGGGGTAGGTGGGTTGAGAATGGTAAGTAGCTCATTGTGTATTTCCAGCACAGACGCACACAGAGGGGTAGACAACCAGACAGACAGGCAGACAGACAGACAGACAGACAGCACACACACACACACACACACACACACACACACACACACACACACAACACACACAACACAACACACACACACACACACACACACACACACACCACAAAGCTGCATGACGCACCGACGATAATGGTGAGGGCCTGTTCGCTGCCAGTGTTTCCAGCAACATCGCGTGCGGCGACCGAGAGCGTAAACGCGCGCGTTTCGCCGGGGAGGACCGGTGTAAGGACAGTTGACAGGGCGCGGTAGTCGTACTTGGTGATGTTGTAAGCATTGACGTCATCACTGAACGAACCACGCGGCACAAATCGCGCCGTGTCCGCCAAGAACTGCAAATGTGCGGAAGGAGAGTGGTGGGTTGTTGTTTAAGTTGTTGTTTAAGTTGTTGTTTAAGTTGTTGTTTAAGTTGTTGTTGTTGTCGTTGTTGTTGTGGTTTAAGTTGTTGTTGTCGTTGTTGTTGTGGTTTAAGTTGTTGTTGTCGTTGTTGTTGTTGTTGTTGTTTGAGTTGTTTAAGTTGTTGTTTAAGTTGTTGTTGTTGTTGTTGTTGTTGTTGTTGTTGTTGTTTAAGTTGTTGTTGTTGTTGTTGTTGTTGTTGTTGTTGTTGTTGACGTTAGTGGTGCAACAGCGAGTTGGGAATGGATAGATACAGCAGAGCGGCAGACAGAGGACAGGCACACACAGGCACACATGCACAACAGTTGCGACTACTCACGGGCGCGATGATTTCGCCCTCGAGTTTGATCTGGAACGAATAGCGGTTGCAGTCCCACGTCGATGCTGGTGATAATGATGAGGTGATGATTGATGGTGGTGGTGGTGGTGATGATGATGATGATGATGATGGTGATGTGACAGTGGTGCAGGCAGCATCCACATTGTGTGAGGAGAAGAGCATATAATTGCAGCAGAGACCAGGCTTTGTGTGTCCACAGAAGCACCCGCTTATGCGCATCCACACATGCACGTACACATGCCCACCTGTGTGGTCGGTGAACATTGCGTCGACGACCGTCTCCGTGACGGCGAATGTCGTGTCGAGCAGACTTGTGTTCGTGCGATGGTGCGCTGTGGACACACCAACCCGGGGCGCATCGCCATCAACGAACCACACATACGCCGCGGCGTCGCCCGTGTTACCGGCCGTGTCGAGTGCTCGCGCCTCAAACCGCATCACGCCATGCTGCAACTGCAGGTGGTGGTACCGAACAAGCGTCGTCGACGACGACGACGACGATGATGATGATGATGATGATGATGATGATGATGATGATGATGAGCCGGGTGGTGTGGTGCCTGTGCCATCGCTGTCGCTGTTGGCACCGCAGGCGACAAACGGGGTTGTCTGCAGGGCGATGCGGCGAGCGAGGAGGCGCAATGCACCATCATCATCATCAGCGGTAGAAACGGTTGCAGCCGTCGTGATATCGGCAGCTGTCATGCCATTTGCCAACGCAATGGTGATGGCGGAGAGCAGAAGTGCGCGTGTGTTATCCACGGCACCTCCCTCTTGTCCTTGTTGTTCCTGTTGTTTCAGCGTGTGTTGCAGGTCGAGCAGCCACGTGCGCGTGTTGTTGGCGGACCATATGTCCGGTGCGCCGGGAAAGAATCCTCGCGCGTGGTCAAAGGGGAGGAGGCGGCATTGAAATGTGGTGTCGGGCTCGTTGGATGACAGCTCAAACTGCACGTGCTCATCTGGGCGATGGGATATGGGGTAGCAGGGCGGCGGACCCGCACCAACAACAGATACGCCGTCCGCGCCAAAGTACTGCCCGATGAACGCTGCAGGCGGCAGCGCATCTGCACGCACGTGGTGGTGTTTGGCGCGCGGCCGCGGGGGGGGGGGGTTGAGGAAGGGAAGCGGGAACGTGGGTTGGGGTGTGCATGTGTGTGTTAAGTGTTGGGGTGTTGAGTGAGAGAGGGTGTGTGTGTGTGTGTACGAGTGTGTAGGGTGTACAAGCGAGGGCACATGAGCTTCAATGAGCCAAGTCCGTCACGCACACACACACACACACAGGCACACACACACACACACACACACACACACACACACACACACACACACACACACTACACACACACACACACCCACACACACACACACACACACACACACACACACAGACACACGCACACTTACTGTGAGGTTGAAGCCGGAGGCTGTGGCATCATTGCACCAACCCAGGGTGGTGCCGTCGCAGGTTAGAGCTGCTGCAGGGGCGGGCTGCGTTTCCAGGAGAAGAACAAACAGCAGAAGAAGAAGAACAACACCACCACCACCACCAGAAGCAGAAGCGAGCACCCGACTGCGAGGACCCCACAACAGCCCAGCCATCATCATGGTGGCTGTTGTGTTTGTTGTGCGTTTGCGCTGCCTGAAATGCTGAACACTGAATTCAGTCGTAATTGAAGGGTGTCAGCGGTTTTGCTTTAGTGACATGCATGGCGACGGGGTTGCATGTGACTCGTCATCACCACAGCAGCATTTGAGGCATGACACCACGCCACACTCAACCTTTTCTCTCGTCCTTACCAGCCAGACAACCGAACTGTGCCGTCCTCCTCTCGACGACGGCCACCATCTGAACACCTTCGCCTTCGCGCTCACCACCGCGCTGTGCTGCGGGCCAGTGCATCTCCAGGATTGTTACCAAGGAACAAAGGAAAAGAACAGAGGAAAAGAACAGAAGGAGAAGAAAGAAAGGAGAAGAAAGGAAGGAGAAGAAAGGCCCCCCACCACCACCTGTGCTCGGCTACAGTTAGCCGCAGCAGCCCTTCGACAGCCCTTGCGCGCTGTTGACAACACACACACTTTTCTTTCTTTGCCCAGTGCTTGCTGTTCCTTGCACCTCGCTCTCGTGTCATGGCGAAGGCAGTGTTGGTTGTGGATGGCGGCCTTTATACGCAACAGCTGTTGCGAGATCCAGGCCACCCAACAGCACACCCCGCGTACTTGGTGCAGGCGGCGCTCGCGCTATCCATGCTGCACGGCATCACCGTGTCGGAGATTCACTACTTTGACGCGGTCATCAACCCCAAGTACCACGACTTTCCAGGGATGACGCGCAACGACGAAGCAAGACGCGCTTTTCACAAGGCCTTGCTTGAGCAGATGCAAACAGAGGCGGGAAAGGACATCCTCATCAAGACGCACATCCAGCACCTGAAGCCAATGGCTATTCGCTGCCCCGAAAAGACCTGCGTTCACTCCCAGCCTGGGAAGGAGGTGGTGCGACCTGTGCAAGCTGGGGTCGACGTGGACATTGCCGCCTTCCTGTTAACCTCGCTGCCACCAGATGTGACACACGTGTACTGCTTCATCGGCGATGGCGATTTTGTACCGGTCATTGAGGCGCTGCGTCGCCCCCAGTTTGGAAAGACGGTCAAGCTCGTGCTCTTCAGCGAAACCGCCCTCTCCATTGGCCTTCGCTCCGTCATGGCAAAGAGGTGCGATGGTGTTGCGTTGCTTGTTGTTGCTTGTTGTTGCTTGGTGCATTGCTTGCTGTTGCGTGGTGCTGCATTGCTTGCTGTTGCGTGGTAGTGCTGTTTGCTCCTGTGCTTGGTGGATTGGTTGTATGTATTGCTTGTGTCATGCTGTGTCACGGTTTATTCACTGTGAATTTTGGTCGTCCACCTTCGCCTTGTTTCCTTCCACTGCTCGCTCACACATCGTTCGTTGTGTGTCCTCCCCCCTTGTCGCATCCCATCCACCACAAACACACACACACACATGTTGTAGTGATATCATCTTCCTGAGCAAACTGCAGAATAACAGGCCGGAGCTGTTCAACATCACGGGCTCCGATGTGCCGCGAGCACAACCGCCACCACAGCCATCGTCATCACCGCCAGCATCTTCATCTATATCGCGGGAACTTGCACCAGCACTCGCACACGGGCTGCGGCTCTTGCCGACAGAGCGCGGGGCGCTGAGGGGTGAGGCTGGCGACGCGAAGGATGATGAGGCCGATGAAGGGAATGACGATGAAGGGGCAGAGGATGGGGTGTTGCTGGACACGCCCGACGCCGTGCTTGCACGCCTACCGCCCATGCACAACCTCTCGCCCAGCGACATTGTTGCGCTCTTCTCGCTCGGTCACTCTGGACCAGCCATCTTGAAAGGTGCGCTGTTGCTTGGTGTTTGTTGTGGTGGTGGTGGTGGCGGTGGTGGTGGTTGCTGCCTGTGGTGGTGGTATTGGCGTTGTCGTTCACGTTCGTGTGTTCTTGTTGTGGTTTGATCGCTTTACAGCTGCATGCACGTCACGTTGCACTCACATGCATACTCACCGTTTTCCCACACTGCCACGCACCACCATCGTTTCCCCCACCACCACCACCACCAACACCATCACCACACTTGTCTCCCTGCTTCAACTCGCCCTGGTGCGTGCAGCTGTGCGGGCCAACCCGTCTGCGGACTTTATGGCAGTGATGGACGCAATCGATGTGTGAGAACGCTTATTGTGTGTGTGTGTGTGCGTGCGCGTGTGCGCGCCGCACTTTCTTTGGAACAAACAGAAGACACCGCCTATGCCCATGAGCTGCGTGTCTCCTTCTACTTCTAGTCTAACTCCACGCTCGCTTCTACTGAGCGCTGGTGCTTTTTTTCTCTTGCTGATTCTGTGTTGCTATTTGTGTCGAACAAGCATATCTTTTTGTGGACAGCTTCGTGTGTGAGTGTGTTGTGTGTTGTTGTTGTTGTTGTCGTTTTTGTTGTTTGTCTCCAACGACTGGTATTGGAGATGAGTGAGTCACGCCAATAACGTCCAGTTTGAGCGTTTGTGTGTGCTCATCATTGTAACTCATCAACCGTCCTGCTCATCATAGCTTTGTGTGTGTGTGTGTGTGTGTGTGTGTGAGTGTGTGTTTGCGTGTTGACAAAAAAAGCCAACAAGGTAGTGTTCATACGCTGTGTTCATAATTTTGTGGCTACCATGTTCCAAATACAACGTCGCGATCGAGCTGGGTACAACCCCGATATGCAAAGTGCTGCCTGTTTCGCAGCACCAACCTGCCACATCTGCAAACACTTGCTCTCTTCCCATCAAAACAAGAAAGTCTTTCCAAACCACGAACCCCCACCAAACAAGCAAGTCTTGCCAGAGTCAGTCGATGGGCCGTGTAGATGATTGCCTAAGATTTCAAACATATTTCCGCAGACACAAGCGACTTGGTCGACGTCAACACAGACTGACACACCTCGTCGCAGCAGCAGAAGCAGCAGCAGCAGCAGCAGAATCTTCTTCTTGCTTTGCTTTCACACCCATTTCCCTCACCCAAGACAAGAGAACCCAGTCAGCGAGCCAGCTCAAAGAAGCTGTTGCTGTCGCCATGGAAGAGCCAAAGGGTGAAAAGGCGCTGCTGCTCGTGGATGGAACCTGTTACTTTGCTCCTTTGGAGCGTGACAGGTTGAGCGTGCGGGCAGCCCCGAAATGGCTGGAGCGCCTGAGCGAGAAGATTGCAGACCGTTGGAGTCTCTCCATCGCCAGAGTAAGCGCCGCTGTTTCCGTTGCTGTTTCCGTTGTTGAGTTTGGTTACAACGGACATGTCTTTTCTTGTTCTGCGAGAAGAGCGCACAAGAGGACCAATGACCTCCTTTGCGGTGGTGACGTTTCTTCTGCTTGTCGCGCGTTTTCTGGTGTCTGTCTGACGCCCTGCCTTTAGTTATGCATAGGAGTGTGTGTGTGTGTGTGTGTGTTTGCGTGTTGACAAAAAAAGCCAACAAGGTAGTGTTCATACCCTGTGTTCATAATTTTGTGGCTACCATGTTCCAAATACAACGTCGCGATCGAGCTGGGTACAACCCCGATATGCAAAGTGTTGCCTGTTTCGCAACCTCAACCTGCCACATCTGCAAACACTTGCTCTCTTCCCATCAAAACAAGAAAGTCTTTCCAAACCACAAACAAAGCAAATCGTCTTGCCAGAGTCAGTCGATGGGCCGTGTAGATGATTGCCTAAGATTTCAAACATATTTCCGCAGACACAAGCGACTTGGTCGACGTCAACACAGATCTGACACACCTCGTCGCAGCAGCAGAAGCAGCAGCAGCAGCAGCAGCAGAATCTTCTTCTTGCTTTGCTTTCACACCCATTTCCCTCACCCAAGACAAGAGAACCCAGTCAGCGAGCCAGCTCAAAGAAGCTGTTGCTGTCGCCATGGAAGAGCCAAAGGGTGAAAAGGCGCTGCTGCTCGTGGATGGAACCTGTTACTTTGCTCCTTTGGAGCGTGACAGGTTGAGCGTGCGGGCAGCCCCGAAATGGCTGGAGCGCCTGAGCGAGAAGATTGCAGACCGTTGGAGTCTCTCCATCGCCAGAGTAAGCGCCGCTGTTTCCGTTGCTGTTTCCGTTGTTGAGTTTGGTTACAACGGACATGTCTTTTCTTGTTCTGCGAGAAGAGCGCACAAGAGGACCAATGACCTCCTTTGCGGTGGTGACGTTTCTTCTGCTTGTCGCGCGTTTTCTGGTGGTCTGTCTGACCGCCCTGCACAAACACCACTGGTTTGCTTGCAAACACGCACGTGCATACGTGCGCACTCTCGTACGTACGCACGCACGCACACACACACACACACACACTCACTCACATACACACACATACACACGCGTACGCACGCGTACGCACGCACAAACACACACACACACACACGTACGCACAAACTCACAAACACACACACACGCACATACGCATTTGAAGATACACTTGTTTGATGCGGTGATGGACTCGTCCCTGCACGACTTTCCGTCACATCGCAAGGCCGACAAGTCCCGCAAGTCCTTGCTGAGGAACATGCAGCAGGCGCACATTGCCGTCCATTTCCGGTACCTCAAGCCCTTTCGGACCAACTGCGAGGACGTCAACTGCCGCTACAAGTCTGCGGCCATCGAGGTGCCCGTTGGCGCGGGTGTGGACGTGGCCATCACAACGTTTGCGCTCGCAGACATGCCGACGGACGTGAAGACGGTTGTCTTGTTTGTGACAGACCCCGACTACGCGCCGCTTATACGGGCGCTCAAAGGGAAGGGGACGCGCGTGCTCGTCGTCACAGACTCGGACGCCGCGCTGGACCCGGCGCTCAGAGATGCGCTGGACGAACACAACCCAACACCGTTCAAGGATTGTGTTTCTTTTTTGAATGTGCACAAGCAGAGATGCTTCTGCTGGTTTTGAGATGAATGCAAGAACGGAGGGACAGAGAGGCCTTGGCAAAGGGAGCTCCATGACCACACACACACACACACACACACACACACACACACACACACACACACACACACACACACACACACACACACACACACACGCTTTTCTGCTGTTTGGCTTACGCATCACGCCTTCTCCTGCTTGCCCTTGTCACATTCACACACGTCTGCACTATCCAGCGTCTTTGCCTTCTTCACCTCATCCTGACCATCACTCTCACTCTTCTTCACCTCATCCTCCTTCTTATCCAACTTATCCTCATCCTGACTCTTCTTCATCCCCTCCTGCTCACCACCATCACCCTTTGCTTGCTTGCCGCGTGCTCCCATCTTCGCCTTGAGTGCATCACGCGCCGCCTTGCGCTCCTCATACTTGCGCTGTCGCACGTCCCACCGCACCTGCTGCGCCTGCGTCGTGATGGCGACCGGTGGCACGGGCTTTGGGCGGTGGTGCTCGTCCAGGGCGACAAACGTGAAGATGGACCGCGTGGCAAGGCGGCGCTCAGACGTGAGGTGGTCGATGCTGAACACGTTCACCTCAATGTCCATGGACCTGGCAATTTGGCGAAGGGGGGGGGGAGGATGGGGGTGAGGGGGTGAGCAAATGGAAGCAAACCGGAGGCAAGGTCATGGGCAGACGAGTATGCAGAGGCAGATCGGTGGACAGGCAGACACAGGTAGACAGAGGTAGACAGACAGACACAGGCAGAGGCAGACAGGCAGACAGAGGTAGACAGACAGGCAGGCAGGCAGACAGAGGTAGACAGACAGACACACACACACAAACAAACACACACGAACACCCACACACAGACCACCCCCCCCACACACACACACACACACACACACACACACACACACACACACACACACACACACACACACACACACAC